CCCAGAATTCAGGGAGATCATCTGGACTGAAAACCGTGCTTTTAAGGGAAAACAATAATAATTAATTTTTTACTCAATTTTGAACTGGTTTTCTTTATTTTTAACCTAAAGAGGGTAAAAGGATTAGTAAGACTATAAAGGTAAACAACATGTTATTAATGTTGTGTTTATATTTTAAGGCAACTATTAATCTTTATATCTCATAATTACATAAAATAATCAAATAAATACGTTCTTTGTCTTTCAATAAAAAACAGCCCACATAAAAGAGGCGTGTCATGCCTTGGTTCCATACAGAGAGCGTGTAGGCATGCCGCCGGATTAAAAAAGAGTTCTCGGACACAGTAGCGGGTTTCGGGGTCCCCTGTTCCTTTTTAGGGGAAATGGGAATTTTTATTGTATATAGCCTTCAAAATATGAGTTTTGGGTTTCTGTGTCTTGTATGAGTAAATGTATTTATCGGTATGAATGGGGAGGGACTGACGGCGAAGTAGCTTCTCCATCGCCTCTCAGGTTGTGTGTATGATTTGGGCTGGTGGCGGAAATTTATAAAAATATCCCATCGACGCCAATTTAGATTAGTTTATTATAGGGAATAGGTAGATGGAGGAATATCGAGTTCTCCATCTACCAAATGAGTGCGATCAATGTATGTTGGTGTGAGTGTATTTATTGGTGTGAATGGGGAGGGGCTGATGGCGAAGTAGCACCTCCATCGCCCCTCATGTTGCGTGCGTGATTTGGGTCTACGGCGGAAAACTTTTAAAGTACCTAATCGACCGCAAATTAGATTAATTTATTGTAGTGAACAGGTAGATGAAGGAATATCGAGTACTCCATCTACCAAACAGTATGAGTTTGAACAACGTATATAGGAATGAAGGTATTTATTGGTGTGATTGTGTATAGAGTGTATAGGGGTATTTTGTTAGTGCTTCAGGGCTGAATGACCAAGCTGTCGGATTCCCCTGTCCAAAAAAAATAAATAAAATAAAAAACAGCCTCACTGTTTATAATAATTTTGTAATATTCGATATAGACATTTCTCTTTCGACTCTCGCCGCATTTCTAAAGAGGGTTGATGTTTTTAAAAAAAGAATTCGTGGACATTCTATTTTCGTCTCTGGCATCGGCTGGATTTGGGTTTATCCTCGGCTCTATTAAAATCGACCGGTGCCAAACCAAACGTTGCCCCGGCAAAAGGGGCAAGCGGCTGTTGAAATTTAATTGTTCGACGTCCGTGAGAAATTTATCGTTTCCGGAGAATATATCTTTCCTATACGATATCCGCTGTATAAAAATGATATTATACAGTCGACGTTCTGCATATTAATGAACACAGTTGCCACCATTACCATTTAAACTCGAATTTGCCCTTTTATAAAGTATTGTTTTTGTTTTTTTGTTGTAAAATTACTGTTTCTTTTCGTTGAAACAAAGCATTTTAATCAAAATTGATTACCACTCGTCCGTTTATACAAGCCGTTGAACTGTTGTTAGACACATTTCGGCCTAATGAAACGGAAGCCTGTAAATAGCCCAGTGCAATTTGACTATTCGACGAAGTCTGCCATGTTAACAATACATATATTCTTACCTAAATAACAGCATTCAAAAACATGAATAAGCCGCCTAAATAAAACTGTGTTTGTTTAAGTGTCAGTTAATCCTTAATTGAGCCCACTTACTGGTAGATTAGTGACAAACTGCGAGCAAATGTTCAACAACTCTTATAAGAGACGACAACGGCTCATAATTTGTCAGAAGTTTCACTTTAAAATTACAAAGACCTGACGCAAACTAACAGACAAATAACCAAGGGCAAACAACATTTCCATGCCATTTGACTTTAACCAATGACTTCAAAATGTACAACAACCTCTTATATTCGTCTGACGTAGATTGGCTACCAGCATTGACATATCGTTGATAAATAATATTTACTGTTTATATCTGTCGTAAGAGGTATGCAAATGTGTTTTGAAATGCAGAGAAAAACCTACAGTGCTGGCAAACAGCAGGACTTAACGTCCAGCTACGTTGGGTGTGACGGACAAGGGTGTCAAAATCATTTGATAATACTTTTTATTACTTTCATATTTTCGTATTTTATATTTAATCCATTTACTACTTATTTCTATAGTTCGTTTAATTTTTCATTTTCTGTCACTCTCTCTCCTCCACCCACACCCTCTTCTCTTTCTTTCTCTATCTCTCTCCCTCCCTCCCTCCCTCCCCTCTCTCACCCTCTCCCTCTCCCTCTTCTCACTCNATATATATTTCTGTCTCTATCTCTATCTATTTCTCCATCGGTTTGCCTACCTCTGTCTCTTTCTCACGTACACATACTTCTTAAATATCAATTATACATAACAAATGAACATGTGAGTTCGAATAATTGAAAGATTGACACTTCCTTTGTTTAGTTAGCACTATGAGTGATAATTCACCACTTCTGGGTTTGCCAATTGGAATAATTTCTTTCACTTATGTACATATTCAATCAGTAGCGTGGCAAATGAATATTTAAATCTGCAATAACCAACGGTTCAATAATAATCGGACAATTTTGTTTGATTGTTTCTGTTTTCTCAGGCAAAAGACGATATATAGTACATGGTGTGGGCGGCGGCCTGGCCTGGGAGTTGGGGCAAGTCATTTAAGTTGCCTCCCCCAATTATTGGAGGGCCTCGGATAAAAAAGTTGGGCAGATCCCCTCGGGAGGTAGTAATAGAAAAATAGAGAACAGTTACTCCCCGCGGCCTACTCTGCCAGTGGGGCCGATTTGTCCCTCCCACGAACGCACACGTTTCCGGTATATTCTGATAAATACGTATAACACCACGGCTTTTATTCCCTTTATCAAAATACGAATCGGGATTTATACCTGGTTTACGATCGTCCGGTAAAATGGACTTCCTATCTACAGATCCATTGTACGAGAAATTCTGTTTTATGCCTATACCGGCCGTTATCTAAAACCGATCATTGGCCAAATGCCTGAAAGTCATTATAAATTTATTTAAGTTTGGACATCTACCAACGGAACAAATTGGCGACCATAATTTATTATTCAATACATTATTTTTCCTGTAATTACAAGAAATGCAACAAAAAACATCATCATTGTCGCAATCTCATATTTTTAGTTTAATCTCTATCGAAAGATGAAAGTCGAGTAATAGTAACTTGATAGTGCTGAATAATATATTCAAAATGTTTGTTATTAAGGTTAATAATCAATTTATAAAAAGAAAGGACTATGTAAACAGATGTTATTAAAAGATAATCACGCCTCTATTTGTGCTAAAGCCTTAAATATGAAGTTGTACAATTTGAACAATATAAAAAAAGCGAGAGAAAATGAATAAAATATATTGAAGAATATTAAAGATAATATATTTTGCATAAATACATTACTATTGAAAATATCTTACAATTTTGTAATACAATATATAAAGATCAAAAAAAAATTATTTAAACCTTGTAGCACTTATTCAATGAAAAACCTCCAGTAAGTCCATGTTGGCAAAAAAGAACGGTTGGAAAGTTAATAAAAATCATCAACAATAACAGAGAAAGAACTATTTATTCCTAGTTAAACTTTCCTTATATGCTTTTTTGCCCAAATATGACGGCCTGTTGACAGCTTAAATGTACCAACTTTTTTTTAAATATGGTGTTTATTTACGTTTGCTGTTGAATTTTATATCGAATATGAAACTTTTTACGGCTAATTATAGCGTGGATGGATTGTGGAAAGGACTATTTAATTAGATATAGTAGAAAATAATCAAGCCACTATTTGTGCTAATGCCTTAAACATGAAGTTGTGTAATTGGAATAGTATAGAAAGAGAAAAAAGCGAGAGAAAAAAAATAACGAAAAAGACAGAGTGAATGAATACAAAATATCTATCGAAGATCGAGAAAGAACTGTTTATCCTTAGCAAAACATGGTATGTAATTTAAATAGTTTGTGAACATTTGTAACAAGTTGTCCTTTAAATAGCCTAGTCGAACTTAAAAATTTCTTAAAAAAGCAATAGAGTATGATTTGTAATGAGGCCTCAATTTATCAGGAAATAATCCAGGGGATTGATTTTAGATAGATAAACTTCCAGAAAAAAAGTTGGGCTATAATTTTTATTAAGTTATTAAATTACTATTTAAAGTGACAGACAGTTCCGCACTGAAGATGGCGCAATGCCGAAACGCGTTTGAATAACTCAACAAACCGAGAGTAAATAGGAACCCAGTAAAAGTGACCCTGTTCCCGTTCACCATGAGTTCACCTGCGAGTCGGTCCAACATCCATCATCAACTTTAAATTATTATGTTATGTTAATGGTGGCAAAGATGTAAGCGAAAGATATATTCTCTTATTTAACGTAATCGGTGTAATCATTACTTAACAAATATAAATTGACACTGGATTGATTGGCGAGAAAGGTATTTTAGAAAAACGCATTCTCCGAACTTTTTCCCAACTTTAAGCTAATCTAGTTCACGCCGTATCTCTTCAAAAACATTGATAACTAACGGCATGTGGTAAAAGAACCAGCTCCATTTCAATTAAATTAATTAATTTCCAGTTCTTTTGTTTTATTAAACCTTTTTTATGTATGAAAATGCGCTTTCAAATTGAATAAAAAGGTTTCAGTTGATTCCATTTCAGTAGATACACGGTATAAATTGGGGTGGAACTGGAGGAAAAACAGTTTTCAAGAAAAGAACTAACTTTTTTAAGTTGAGCTGATATCCCCAAACCTGACAACCGTGGCAAAGAAGAGCAAAAGACCGGATCACGTTTTGTTTATTTCTGCCTTACATTCATTCCTTTACTTCTTTGGCCAAGATCGAATGAAAAACACATTTTATTGCTTTTCATCTCAAAAAGTTTAGAAGAAAAAAATATCACTTACATCATAAAAGCATACTGGTTTTACTTGTCATAATGGTACTTTATACTCAAAATAAATTGTTTCTTTTTGTTTCCAGGTATGGTTCCTCCAGCCATCACTCTTCCAAAATGTATACAATAACGTTGTAAGTACATCGCAATACTATTTATATTACAGTAGAAACCTTTTGTAGAGTTAGTAACTGTGTAAAATGTATATCAATCGACTATTAATCTGGTCGAAACGCATGCTTAAGTAGGTGATAAATATATATAAAAAATTAATGAAAGATACATATTGGTTTGATTTGAATTTTTCCGGAGATTTTTAATCAAGATTGCATATTAAATATTTTATACAATTGTCGAGATGTGAACGAAATTTATGTAAGAAATATAAAAAATATGTATAACTTTTTTTCTTTTAGAACATTATTGCAATCAGTTTAGTAGATTTTTATTTACTCATAGCTGCTATATTCCTTTATTATAGCAGGCAGCTGGTAATAGCACAAAAGTGTCCTCCAATCCCAGCAAATAAAAATGTGAGCCTTGAAAAGTAGCACTTGTAAAGGGAAGTTTAGCTTCTGTTCCCCCCTACACTTTGTTTATTAAGTCGTTTTTAGAAAAAAAACCGCGACACATTTATTTATTTTAATCTAGTTTCTTGAGCCAAAAAGTCTTGATCTAACCCTTCAGGATAGCGGGATAAAGTACAACAGATTCCTTAACGTAACTTTTTGAAAGGAGTTTTGACGCTGATTTCAACGGTGCAAATACTTTTCAATTTCAACCGTCCTCAAGTTATTCACAAAAAATTATTTACTTTGAAAAACGAAAAATTCTTTAATTTCTACCACAAGAGCCAATTAATTTATTTATCATTTTAATTGTTATTAAATATTTGTTTTACATGTTTCAAAACTTTTCAGCCTGGTATAAATTTCTGTCTAAGTTTTTCCGGTAACCGTGAGCAATTAATTTATTATCAATGGAGAAGATTTTGTTTTTCGAAAATCAATATTCAGAAGTAGGTTTTTGTTTAAAGTTTTATTGAGCTTCCTCTGTATAAAGTTAATGACAGTCTTTGTGGCTTTGCCATGATCCTTGATATTTCTGTGCAAAAATAAAGAATAGAAATATACTATTCACATTTTCTTTATAAAGTTTAAAATGCATCTGTCTTTACAATTAATTAATTGTGTAAATAATCAAAATCTCTACTTAATTAAATCATATACATGTATAAATGATTATCTGTAGTTATTAATGCGAGATGCAGGAACAAGTTAGAGGTTTAATTTATGCGGTCCTTCGTGTAGAATAAAATACAAAATGTTCACTTACGTTCAATTTGTTGATAGTTGGATGGGTACTTTGAAAACAAGCTATGCTTGACCGGGAAACTATGATGCCCAATCGGCCGTGACTTTTTCATTCAGTGCTGTTCACTGTTGATGTATGTTTTGCTGGAAATAATTCCCAGATTAAAGTAAATCGATGAACCAAATTTAACGCCATGGCAAAATGATATAGACTGGAAAATGTGAGGCTCTATAAAGCCTTTAAATATAATTATTTAAAAAAAAAAAAAAAGCGAACTCAGTAATGAACTGTTTGCAGTCGCAAAATAAATAATTTTTAAAGTCGTACCTTTGTAAAGTTTTTTTAATGTTTAAGCGTTAGCGTGAGTGTCATTTGTCTAACTTTGCTCTATATAAGTTGGCCAATTTTAAATCCATGAAACACAAAATTGTATAACTCCAGCCTTAAAAAAAAAAAAAAAAATACAGGTGGTTAAAGCTTACGGTGTCACTTTATATACACTGACCCTGTACAAAATTTAGATCCCAGGTTCATTTTTAAAAGAAATTCTTCTCTTGAACATCTCTTGCCTTAATTAAATGCAGGAGTGAATAAATTTCCATGGCAAATTTTTCCAATGGAGAATCAAAACGTTAAGTTATTGAAGTTGAAAGGGGGAGAAAAAGAAAGATCTTCCAGCGGAGCCTTTATGCACAATTAGCCTCGCCTTCATCCCGAAGAAGCCTCATTAAAAATAGGAAGGAAATGAGCCGAGGGGATACCCTGAGAGACCCCATTAGCACACTACACCCTTGCGTTCAACCCCAGAGCCCATATATTCATTTTTCAACCCCCAATTCGTTCTTCCTGTGTCCCAGAGGGAATAATTATCTGCCCGTAGCGATAATTACCGTTTAATTGGGTTATTGCTATATTTCGCTGGAAAATCCGGACCCCGCTTTTGCGCGAATCTGCTGCGATGAAATGATTTTAGGTGTATGTAATTGTCAAAAGAACTTGAATTGTATATACGAGATTAATGCAGCCTTAAATGTAATATGAAAACATATTAGAATATTACGTACAAGACTTCGGTCTAAATCTTTTCAATGCAACATTTTTCTGCATTCTTTTATTATACAATTTTTCATTAATTCATAGTCTACAATTCAATTTTTTATATATTTAAGCCGTAATATCAATATACATTACAATATAAATTTTGTATTTGTTTGGGAAGTTTAATTATTCATGGAATATATTTATTTAAGCAAGGAATACATCTATTCAGACGTTTGGGTTATTTTTCTTTCATATTTACGCATACATGTAATATTTTTATTTGAATGCATTTGTGGATAGTTAAAAGTATTTCAGCTCGCGGCTGTACGAATCCGCCAGGTGCTGGTGTTTAAAAAAAAGCCCATTTGTATTTTAACCCAGGACCACGGGGTTGAGCGCCGCGTCAATGCCTAAACCGTTGCGACCACCGACACCTGTCCGGTTGTTGTTGTTCAAGCTCATCAAAATAAATGCATACAAAAAAAAGGTTGGAAAAGCTTGAACAGAAGAGCTACCTAAACCAATTACATCCAACAAAAATAAAAACGTACAAAACTGTTCAGACAGTTTTGAGTATGAATAAGAAATAAAAGACTTAATAAATATTCACTCTTTCCGACTACACAGAAAAATACATACTATAAAAACAGTGTTTAAAAAGTTTAAATAGGCGTCTTTTGTTCGATACACCATTTGGTTACTATACTTTCAAGTATAACAAGTCAATTACGTCAATTTAAAATAATTTACTAAAGACAGTTTATCAATTCTTTCGTTATTGCCTAAATGATCTTATGAGTTAGTACATTAAGACTGCAATAAACTGTATCTAACGCTACAGATGATCTCAAATTGAATATTCCAATTTATATATAAATCATAGGTGATTTGTCAATTAAATATATTAACAACTCTAATCTGAACAGTTTAAGCAATTTTTATCCCATAACATAAAATCCATCTTTCAAAATATGTTTAACGGAATTGTGTTTATAGAAAGATATATCGCCGAAAAACGGAAAAATATATAATATAATTTTGACTTAAAAAAACCAGTATTCTTTTTATATATGTTTCTTTTCCATTTAGTTGTTTGTTTTTTACAGTTCTTATTGTTTGGAACAATAATACATCCGGTTTTTCTCACTATTTTCATTCTTGTTAGATAATCAATTGTTACGGGTAAGTTTCAGTCTACTCTCTTCAATCTGTTAAAATGAAAACATACTGTGTGATGTTTTATAAAAGATATACTAAAAAAAATATTAGAGGTTATAGATATACTATAACCTTTTATTTGTACGCTTCCTATTTTATTGTAAAACGAAGTATGATTTCAAAAGTAACTTTTCCCGTAGCGTCTGCTGGTGCTATTACAATTTTAATAAGTTGGCACGTTGTGTGAACCTGGTAATCAACTTTTTTTTCTAATTTAATGCCCTATTTTTTCACACATTGACATTAATTCCGTTTTATTATAATAAAATGATATATATCAAAAACTTTTTGTTTTTCAGATTTCAAAATTTACGCAGATGTTAAACAACCTGGGAGTCAGATATCTTTTTCTATTTTGTTTTTACTCAACTTGTCGCCTCATGTGAAAATTTTATTGCGTTTTATTCTATTTTTATTATAGCACATGCCTTATTGTAACAAAATTACATTCTAGTTTATCTGAAAAATCTTGTAGTTGTTGTAAATTCATTTTGCACACCAGCTAAGATTTTCTTTCTCAAATTTCAGTATTTTCGAGTCGTATTGTAAACCAACATTGATTAATATCTACCTTTTGTTTAGTCGTTTTCGTCCAACGAACGTTCGAACCATCTATAAAATATAATGATAAATTTAAGGATGGAAAGCTGTACCAAACATCATTTATAACATAATGTTCCAATTACACATATTGGAAATTGTTGAAAAGTTAACATTTACGATTAATGTTTTATTCTTATAGCTTTCATTTGATATACTCAGAGAGTTGTGTTTCCAGTCTTTTTGTTTCTAATAATTTTTTTTTTTATATAAGGACGTGGTTAAGATTAAAAAGTTAGTGTCACGAGCGGGACGATAACTTTTTCATCTCAACCAAGACCTTAGATAAAAAAAAATACTTAATCCGATTAATTTATATGGTCAATTATGACCACTAAACATATGGTTTTTTTTATCTTTTGTACTTCACAAAGAGCATTTTAGTACTCTTGTATTTGGAAGAGATTTCTTGTGTGGTAAAAATAAACGATTGTTTTACCGAAATTATATTTGTATTTTAAATTGGAAAAATGTATATCCCACTGCAAAGCCATTAAAAATAATCATCATTAATAAATTTGTTGATGGAAACAAATTATATTGAGTTTAAAAGTTTATTGGTCACATCTGTTTATACAAGAGTCTACGGATTATGCTGATAACATTTCTCTCATCGCTCAAAACCAACCGGTTGTTGTTGTCGTTTTTAGTTTATCTGCTGGTTGAATAATTCAAGAATTACTTCACTGAAATGTCCTCGAGGTTAGGCCTTGATATGTGTGCCGAAGCGGGGCCATTGTTCCCTTTACGCCGTGTTTATTCATTTTCAACCCCCGCACAAATCTCGCCTCTCGCTACATGGGGAAAAATAATTATTCGGCCGTAACTATAATTAGCGTTTAATGAGCTGATATTTCGATATTGAACCAAGGCACCTACTACTACGCTACGGTCCAGACTTCATCCGCTCGTTCCGTGACCATTAATTGATTTTATTGGACTTTGGCCCTGTTTTCCTCAT